GGCCTGTGGAGATTTGGTTTCCTTTTGTGCAACACTTAACCAGTTCATTAAATTAAGAAATTGACACACTGGGAGGCCAAAGCGGGTGGATCCCGAGTTTAGGAGTTCTAGACCAACCTGAGCAAAACCAAGACCCTGTTTCACAAAAAATAGGAAAGCTGAAGCAAGAGGATCGCTTGAGCCCAAGAGTTGGAGGTTGCTGTGAACTGTGATAACACCATGGCACTCTCTCTACCCAGGGCAATAGAGTAAGACTCTGCCTCAAAGAAAGGGAAGTGTTAACTTTTCTCCCAAAATGTATTTTTTTTTCTAATTATAAATAGGTGATGTCTGCTCTGATTCCTCCACCCAGCTATTTTCCTCTTTTTCTGTAGGCAAGAAGACAGGGAACAGGATAAGAATAATGGAATGTGCCGTCCTTCATTGCAAAAAGATGACGTAAAAGTTACGGTGATGCTAAACATTTCCTCCTAACAGGCAGTCCCCACGTAACAAGATAGGTTCTGTCGTTGAATTTTTATTTAAGTTGGAACAGGTGCATATACCTACTACTTGTAATAGCCTGAAATGCAAGTCCTGTGTCAGATGTTTGTAACTTGGGGACTGCCAACTGTAAACACATGGGACTGATTATCTTATTTTGATATTTCATAATTTTGTATAAACATTGGATTTATTGCTTTTCCAAAATGTGCTTTCATTAAAGCTCATAAGAATTTAGTGTGGGCTGGGCAGGGTTACTCACACCCATTACAGCCCTTTGGGAGGCTGAGGCAGGAAGATCACTTGAGGCCAGGAGTTCAAGACCAGCCTGAGCAATGTAGTAAGACCCAGTCTCTACGAAAATTAGAAAAATGATCAGTACGTGGTGTAATGTTCCTATAGTCCCAGGTACTTGGGAGGCTGAGGCAGGAAGTGCACCTGAGCCCAGGAGTTTGAGGTTGCACTGAGCTGTGGTGACGCCACTGCCCTTTCACCCAGGCAAAGACTGAACCTCTGTTACAAGCAAAAAATTTAAATGTGGAGGAAAATGGCCATGTATAAGAGGGAAGAAAAGTTAAATTACCTTCATTACTTTAAATGTTATTTGAATTTCTTTTGTTAATTTTTTTTTTTAGCTACAATGGATTTTATATTTCTTGATTTTTCTATATGTCAAAACTTTTGTAATGACCCACATATTCTCTTTGCACTGCATTTCAAGGATAAGGCCATCTGTTTTCATTGGTCTGTTCCTGTATATGGTACAACATATTAAGAGTAACTTAGAGTAAGTTTTTATCAATATATATATACACACATGATGTTTATAATATTAACATACAAATTAAAATTAGATGTTTCAGGCTCCGCTCCCATAGCACAGTGGTTATGGTGCAGCCACATACACCTAGGCTGCTAGGTTTAAACCCAGCCTGGGCCAGCTAAACAACAATTATAACTGCAACAAAAAATAGCCGGGCATTGTGGTAAGCACCTATAGTCCCAGCTACTTGGGAGGCTGAGGCAAGAGAATCACCTAAGCCCGGGAGTTTGAGGTTGCTGTGAACTGTGTTGCTGTGGCACTCTACAAGGATGACTCTGTCTCAAAAAAAAAAATTGATGTTTCAGTATTATATTTTAAAATGGATTTCTGGGGGACAATCTAAATTTTATTGTTATTTGGAAGATTCTGTTTAAGTAACTTGTTTATAGAGGCAGTTCTTGTTTTCCACAGTAGCATGGAATTGTAAAAATGATTGAAGTTGAAACTGTTGAAAACAATAGTCATTGGGGAAAATTGTGATTATCTGTGACCTTTGAGAAACCTGTCAGCACATCAAAGACATTATTATTGTCGGTTATGAATGTATAAGTAAATGAAAAGAATAGTAAAACGAATACAGTAGTACCCTTCCCCTTCAGCTTTGCTTTACAGTTTAGTTAGCTGTGGTCAACCATAGTTCAGAAATATTAAATGGAAAAATCTAGAATTAATTCATTAGTTTTATTCATTCTGAATAGCATGATGAAATCTGATGCCATCCCATCTCTCCCAGGACGTGAAGCATCCCTGTGTCCAGCGGCTCCACATATGCTATCCACCCCTCAAGTCACTTAGCGGTCTCAGCTGTAACACTGAAAAGACAGTCCGGCCAGGGTTCCATACATTGCGTGGCTCCAGGCTTCCACTAGGGAGCTGAGCCCATTGCCCTGTGGACAAGGATTTTTGTTTTAAAAAATTATCAACAGTACTTTGGTGCTGTCTTATACAACTTACAAGAGAGCATCTTTTTATACCTAGGCAATTTTTCATAACTTTCAAGTTTAGATCAGTCTCCAGTATTTTAACCTCAGTTTTTTTTTTAATAGGCTTTATTTGGGGGGAGTTGTTTTAGCTTCACAAAATTGAGCAAGAAGAACAAAGATCGCATATCTCCCCTGTCCTAATACCACGGCCTCCCCTACTATCAACATCCCCCAGCCGACTGGTCTATCTGTTAGAATCGAGGAACCTCTGTTGCCACATCATCACCACCCAAGGTCCGTACTTGAGGGTTCATTCTTGGCGATGTCCGTCCTGTGGGCTCTAACGAATGCATCATGACATGAATGCATCATGACATGCGTCCACCTAGTTCTGGTGTCCTACAGAATGGTTTCTCTGCCCCAAGCCCTTCAGCGCTCCGCCTATTAACCCTTTCTTTTCCCAATCCTGGCAACCACTGATCTTTTTGCTGTCTCTGTAGTTTCACCTTTTTCAGAATATTATATTCTCGGAGCCATCCAGCATGTAGCATTCTCAGACTGGTTTCTTTCTCTTGGTCATACACGTTCACTGTTGCTTCATGTCTTTTCATGGCTTGATGGCTCCTTTTCAGCATTCAGGAACATTCTCGGGTCTGGAGGTACCACAGTTTATTCATCCATTCATCTGCTGAAGGATATCTTTGTAGCTCCCCAGCTTTGGCAGTTGTGAATAAAGCCACTGTAGACATTCATACCCACGTTTTTCCATGGACATGTTTCTAGGTCATGGGGTTAAATATCGAGGACCCAATGGCTGAATCCTGTGGTAAGAATATGTTTAGTTTTGAAAGAAGCTGCCGACTGTCTTCCAAGGTGGCTGTGATCTTTTATATCCTCACAAGCAGGGAGTAAGAATTCCTGTTGATCCACATCCTTACCATCATTGGGTGACGTCCGTCGTTTGGATTTTCACCCTTTTTTCTTTTAGAGATGGAGCCTCACTTTATCACCCTCGGTAGAGTGCTGTGGCGTCATAACTCACAGCAACCTCCAACTCCTGGGCTTAGGTGATTCTCTTGCCTCAGCCTCCCAGTAGCTGTGACTACAGGCACCCACCATGATACCTGGCTATTTTTTGTTGCAGTTTGGCCAGGCTGGGTTTGAACCGGCCACCCTCAGTATATGGGGCAGGCATCCTACCCACTAAGCCACACGCACCCCCCGGATTTTCGCCCTTCTAATAAGTAAGTAGTGGCACCTGATTTTAATTTACTATTCTCTAATGACATACATGTTGACTACCTCTTCATCTGCTTGTTGTTACTTATGTATCTTCTTTGGTGAATTGTCTATGGGGGTCTTTTGCCCATTATTATTTTTTTTTTTTTTGAGACAGAGTCTCAAGCTGTCGCCCTGGGTAGAGTGCCGTGATGTCATAGCTCACAGCAACCTCCAACTCTTCGACTCAAGTGATCGTCTTGCCTCAGTTTTTCTATTTTTAGTAGAGATGGGGGTCTTGCTTTTTGCTCAGGCTGGTCGCTAACCTGTGAGCTCAAGCAATGCTCCCGCCTCCGCCTCCCAGTGTGCTAGGATTGCAGGCATGAGCCACCGTGCCCAGCTTTTTGCCCATTTTTTAACCAGGTATTTTGTTTAATTGAATTTTAAGAGTTCTTTGTATGTTTGGGATAACAGTCCTTTATCAGACTGTTTTGCAAGTGTTTTCTCTCCACGGCTTGTCTTTGCATTCTCTGGACGTTTGCCACGTCAGCATCATCGTCATCACAGCTACTGCCCTCGCTAAGTTCTCTGGCTGCCTGTCCACAACTTCAAGAGCTGCACAGCCTCAGATTCCCACGGTCAACTTTCTTTATGACTCCCTTTCTGTTCACTGCAAATTTCACTCTAGCATTATCACTTTTTGCCATACTTTCATCTATGTTTGTTCTTTTTTTTTTTTTTTTTAAAGACAGAGTCTCACTTATCGCCCTTGGTAGAGTGCTATAGCATCATAGCTCACAGCAACCTCCAATTCCTGGGCTTAGGTGAGTCTCTTGCCTCAGTCTCCCAAGTAGCTGGGACTACAGGTGCCCGCCACAATGCCTGGCTATTTTTTTGTTTTCCAGTTTGGCCAGGGCCAGGTTCCAACCCGGCACCCTACCCAGGGAACCACAGATGCCGCCCTGCACTTTCATCTTTGTTGGTGAGTTTCCTCTTTGGATTATTTTGTAAAATGTCAAACTGATGTGTCGCTAGGACACAAGCAGATGGTATAACTACACAGTTTGCTGTCTGTGCATGAATAACAGATGTGCAATGACCAATCACTGGCAGCAGAAAGGATTGGTCCTTGGTCATCACATGCATCTGGTATTTATCCAGTGATTTGTGCACTGATGAGCTAGCAGCAACATTTCCATTTCATGCAATTCCAGTTAGTATCCTATGTGGTAGCATAAATCCAAACACTTCTTTTTTGGAAACTGGGTGTTAATTAAATAATTGTGAATCGAATTCATGCATATTAGAGCCAATGTAAAGCAAGGTATTGTAAACTATTTTTCCTAAATTAAAAATGATGCGAAGTTATTTCTGGAAAAAAGAAAACGACAATGAAATGTAATTTTTATTTTCTTTTGTAAAGCAGAATATAGCTAAAGTGAAAGTCTTGGTGGAGCTAGAGAGGGGGAACTGTGGATTATCTGGCAGGCTCTAGCTACCTTCACAGACACACACCGTAAAGAACAGCAATGCTTGGAGGCGGCATGTACCAGCTAGAGTTTGGTTTGGGGTCTTCGTTGTATCCAGTCAGCGATGGCAGGAATGCCTTGAACTCTTTTCTTTAAAGTCACCAGCCTGGGGTACATGTCCAGCAAGTCAGGTTTAAAGACCAGAAGCGTGGTACTACAAGTATCCCAGTAGAAATCTGCCCACGTTACCTAGTTTAAAGAAACAAACTTACCATTTGAACACAAAAGGCATAACTTTATCAACATTCCAAAATTGAATTTAATTTCTTTCTTTTTCTTTTTTTTTTTGAGACAGAGCCTCAAGCTGTCACCCTGGGTAAAGTGCTGTGGCATCACAGCTCACAGCAACCTCCAACTCCTGGGCTCAAGCAAGTCTCCTGCCTCTGCCTGCCAAGTAGCTGTGACCACAGGTGCCCACCACAACACCTGGCTATTGTTTTTTTTTTTTGGTTGCAGCCAAATTATTGTTTGGCAGGCCCAGGCTGGATTTGAACCCACCACCTTAGGTGTATGTGGCTTGTGCTTTAGCCACTTGAGCCACAGGCGCCGAGCCTGAATTTAATTTCTTAATGTAAGTGATAGTTTATCTTAAAACAATCATTATCACAAGGCCATAATGTGTATGAAATAGAAATTTAGATAATTACAGATAATGTCATACTTCTAACAGCCTACTATTGACATTTAGTGTATAAGGTATTTTCTGTACTGAGAGAGGGAGGGATGGATGAATGGGTAGATTTTTACTAACATGAAATCATTAAAATACATACTCCTCTGTAATGTGATTCAATTCCCCCCGTCTGTGACAGCATGTTTTCCTCTAATAATGCATATTTTTCCACCTGTTCCAAAAATGTCCTTTACAGGACAAAGCAAGATCCATTCCATGGAGACCTATGCATGTTGTCTGTTTATATCTTTTACTTTTTAAAGCTTTATTCAAATTAATATGAGGGTACAATATTTAGGTTACATTGTTCTCACTTCCAGGGCAAAGTTCCGTTTGGTTATATCTTTTAAACCCTCTTTAGAACAGTATCTTTTTTTGTTTGTTTTAATTTTATTTATTTATTTATTGCAGTTTTTGGCCAGGGCTGGGTTTGAACCCACCACCTTCAGTATATGGGGTGGGCACCTTATTCACTGAGCCACAGGTGCCACTCCAGAACCGTATCTTTTTTTTGAGACAGAGTCTCACTCTGTCACCCTGGGTAGAGTGCTTTGGCATCATCATAGCTCACAGCAACCTCAAACTGCTAGGTCAACCGATTGTCTTACCTCAGCTTCCCAAGTAGCAGGGACTATAGGTGCCCACCAACATGCCCAGCTAATTTTTTTTCTTTTTAACATAGACAGGGTCTTGTTCTTGCTCAGGTTGGTCTCAAACACCCGAGCTCAAGCAATTCACCTGCCTTGGCCTCCCAGAGTGCTAGGAGTCCAGGCCTGAGCCACCGTGTTCAGCCCAGAACAGTACCCTTATTTTCATGTCACTGAAATACTGAGGATTCCACACTAGTCCTACAGAATGTCCTGTCTTCAGGGTATGTGTATTTCATCTTATTAACATTGTCCTTTGTACCAGATAGTATAAAGGAATAGTTTGCAAGTTATTTCTAGACAATTTATGGTTTTAAATGAAATATTTTTGGCTGAAATTCATTCTATTGCATCATGTCGAAAGAAATAATACATAGGTATGTGACCCATTAGTGGTATGCTAAGATTGGCCACTGAGTTAGAGTGACAACAGCCTGGTCCTACCCTTGTTTGGTGGGTGTTTTTCTTTTGTGACTAGGATTTAATCTGTATTACTTTACTTTGGTTCCATATCAACATCAAAGAATGAAGTTTAAATGTGAACTATTCTCAGTTTTCTTTTCGTATGGAAGGTAATAAAGCTGATTGCTAGTGTTTCATGAACTTGCTTAGCAAATATCTGTCAGCCAAGAGAGGCTATTGGTTAGAAGATTCAGAGCAGCTAACAGATATTTATTGGTCACCTCCTGTGTGCCATGCCCAGGTCTAGGTGCTGGGGATTGACTGGAGTACAAGGTATGATACAAGCACCTTCTCTATTGCAGCTTATCACAGAGGAAGATCCTCTGTGGAGGTGACGGGAGGAAAATGCCTCCCTCCCATAGAGGAGATTAAAACAGGTGGCCTTTTACTCCACAGAGAACTAGCGGAGTTTAACACCTCCCTAGAAATCTGTATGTGTGATCTCAAGCAGGAGGCTCTCCCAATACAAGGCTCGGATTTCAGATTTCTGAAGGCTACCCTTAAGGTTAATAATAATAACAAGAGCTGGTATGCTCAATCAGAGAAACTGCTGGCATCTTTGTTCCCTCCCTCATCTTACCTTCTGGGCAAATAGACTTCAGTAAAATCAGAGTGACAAACACTCTGGGCTGTTGCCAGAAGCCCACAAACGGGCAATAGACCCCTAAGCTCCCACTTTTAATTCTACTCTATGTCTCTCATCTCTTTCTTTCTTTCTTTTTTTTTTTTTGAGACAGAATCTCACTACGTTGCCCTCACTAGAGTGCTAGTGGCGTCACAGCTCACAGTAACCTCAAACTCTCGGGCT